TATACACATACACATACACACAGAGACACACATATATACACACATACACACGCAGACATACACAGATACACACAATACACACACACATACACACAGACATACACATACACAGACATACACAGAGACACACATATACATACACACAGACATACACACACATACACACATACATACAATACACCCATACACACATATATATACACATACACATACACACAGAGACACATATATACACACATACACACGCAGACATACACAGATACACATAATACACACACACATACACACAGACATACACATACACAGACATACACAGAGACACACATATACATACACACAGACATACACACACATACACACATACATACAATACACCCATACACACATATATATACACATACACATACACACAGAGACACATATATACACACATACACACGCAGACATACACAGATACACATAATACACACACACATACACACAGACATACACATACACAGACATACACAGAGACACACATATACATACACACAGACATACACACACATACACACATACATACAATACACCCATACACACATATATATACACATACACATACACACAGAGACACATATATACACACATACACACGCAGACATACACAGATACACATAATACACACACACATACACACAGACATACACATACACAGACATACACAGAGACACACATATACATACACACAGACATACACACACATACACACATACATACAATACACCCATACACACATATATATACACATACACATACACACAGAGACACATATATACACACATACACACGCAGACATACACAGATACACATAATACACACACACATACACACAGACATACACATACACAGACATACACAGAGACACACATATACATACACACAGACATACACACACATACACACATACATACAATACACCCATACACACATATATATACACATACACATACACATACAGACACATACACACATACACAAAGACACATACACACATACACAGACATACACACAGACACACATACACATAAACAGACACACACACATACACACACACACACATCACACACACACATATACACACATACACAATACACACACATACATACACATCACACACACAACGCACACATACACCCACACACATTCACACACACACACACATACACAGACACACACACACGCACACCCCTCCCCAGCCCAGGGCACCTCAGCGTGCTGTTCCCGTAGCAGCCCAGGTCCCCGATGCCCAGATCGTCCGCCATGATCAGGAGGACATTGGGCCTGACGGCGTCGCCCGCTGTGACCGGGACCAGCCCCAGAAGCACACACAGGGCGGCCAGCACCGGCCCGCGGTTCCTAGAGGGAAGAGCAGAGAGTCAGACATTAAGGCCTACACTTTGGCCATGGCCGGTGTGGCTCAGTGGATAGAGCGCCGGCCTGCAGACTGAAGGGTCCCGGGTTCGATTCCCGGTCAAGGGCACGTACCTGGGTTGTAGGCACATCCCCAGTGGAGGGCGTGCAGGAGGCGGCTGATCGATGTTTCTCTCTCATCACTGATGTTTCTAACTCTCTATCCCTCTCCCTTCCTCTCTGTAAAAAAATCAATAAAATAT